ATTATACAAATTATACACAAAAAGGACGCTTATAATTCTCAACAGGATTTTCCAAACAAAACTCCCTTTTTCAGTGTTGTCAGTTACCTTAGAAACTTTTTCTTGTTTACCATAAATACATTTCAGTTTCTTCTTTCTTTTACTAAAATCTAAGGCAACCTTTAACCAAATTTTTCTCTTAGTGCACTTGTAAGGGGGGTGTGTGTGTTACATTTGTCTTTTTGCAAATTAATTTATAAACACAATTGACATTGAGCCGGAATGTAAATATGCCGCTGAGAATGGTTGTTGCCTTGCATTAAAAATTCAAGTCCCACTCAGTCACATCTGCATGCACAGGACACATGCGTGAACCTTTTGGTGTGTGTGTGTGTGTGTGTGTATGAGTGAAGTGTGTGTGTGCGTGACTCTACCCCATCTGTATGTGTGTATTTGTTTGTCTTTTGCCATAGTCCTTACCATACTATATATATGGCATTTATATTTCCCTCCAGGAAACGGCAACCAGAGTTGCGAAATGCCAAGCTGACGTTGCACTTAAGGAAATAGGCTAACACAAATATGGCTAAAAACGAGGGGGACACTGACTCGTTGTTGCTGTGGGTGGCACTTTGGGAAAACGCAGAAAATACTGAGAAATAAGCAGCAATGTCAGGGGAAATTCCAATATAACTTATGGCCTTCAAGTGGGCACACACAACTCTGCGGAATAAATAATTGAAGAAATTGTTAATTGAACTGGGAGGAACGGCATCGCCCTCATAATGATGCAACTTTCCAGCCAAGTCTGTCTGTTTGGAAGCAGGAAGTTCTTCAAAGTGGAAAACATTTGGCAAGGCCACGTGGTACCATACTCAAAGCCAGCCAGGTCACCTGGCTTTTAACCACATTTTACACTGCCACAAAAAGGGCATACAGCTGACATAGGAACAATTGGAAAAAATTTAGAAACAAAATTATAAATTATAAAGTTATTAACATATTATTATCTTATTTGATTTAAAGCTATCTTTTATATTAAAGAAATTGGTTTTTTTTTTTTAAATCGGAATACTATATAATTGCCAGAGAAACGGTTGTTAAATGTAGAGGATCAGTAAGTATCTGTCAACAGTAAGTTCCTATGAAAAGTAAGTAACTATGATCAGTAAATATGTATGATCAGTTACTAACTTTGAACACTAATAAACATATATATATTTATATTATATTAATTCCTAGTGATTGAATTTTTTTTATGATGAACTGAAATTTGTAAATGTCCGTCGTTGTTTTTGTTGTTACTTACACTCTCTTTGCAGGCTTGGTGGAGTACCATCTATTTTGCGGGATGTTGTTTAGTAGGAATTGTCGTACAAAACTTTGATTTAACACAGATTTTATAATAGCCAAAGGTTGGACTTAAAATATAACTAGAAACTTTAAACTGAACAAGAAGAAGAACAAAAATAATTGCGTTTGCTACGGTGCTTAAGTACACCGGTTGAGAATCGCAGAGGAGGGCACTTTTTTGAGAGACCGTGAATGCGAGGAAAGTTTTATTTTTAAGAGAGAGAGTAAAAGAGAGGCAAACACAATTTGGTTTTATGAGAAACGTAGGGAAGGTCTCATTGTTTATTTTTGAAGAATGAGAATTTGAGTTAGTAAACAAATGTGATAAGTCCTTAAAATTGATCAAAAATATAACATATTTAAACTCAAATTTTATTAAAAACTTTAAACTGAACAAGAAGAAGAACAAAAATAATTGCGTTTGCTACGGTGCTTAAGTACACCGGTTGAGAATCGCAGAGGAGGGCACTTTTTTGAGAGACAGTGAATGCGAGGAAAGTTTTATTTTTAAGAGAGAGAGTAAAAGAGAGGCAAACACAATTTGGTTTTATGAGAAACGTAGGGAAGGTCTCATTGTTTATTTTTGAAGAATGAGAATTTGAGTTAGTAAACAAATGTGATAAGTCCTTAAAATTGATCAAAAATATAACATATTTAAACTCAAATTTTATTAAAAACTTTAAACTGAACAAGAAGAAGAACAAAAATAATTGCGTTTGCTACGGTGCTTAAGTACACCGGTTGAGAATCGCAGAGGAGGGCACTTTTTGAGAGACAGTGAATGCGAGGAAAGTTTTATTTTTAAGAGAGAGAGTAAAAGAGAGGCAAACACAATTTGGTTTGATTAGAAACGTAGGGAAGGTCTCATTGTTTATTTTTGAAGAATGAGTATTTGAGTTAGTAAACAAATGTGATAAGTCCTTAAAATTGATCAAAAATATAACATATTTAAACTCAAATTTTATTAAAAACTTTAAACTGAACAAGAAGAAGAACAAAAATAATTGCGTTTGCTACGGTGCTTAAGTACACCGGTTGAGAATCGCAGAGGAGGGCACTTTTTTGAGAGACAGTGAATGCGAGGAAAGTTTTATTTTTAAGAGAGAGAGTAAAAGAGAGGCAAACACAATTTGGTTTGATTAGAAACGTAGGGAAGGTCTCATTGTTTATTTTTGAAGAATGAGTATTTGAGTTAGTAAAAAAATGTGATAAGTCCTTAAAATTGATCAAAAATATAACATATTTAAACTCAAATTTTATTAAAAACTTTAAACTGAACAAGAAGAAGAACAAAAATAATTGCGTTTGCTACGGTGCTTAAGTACACCGGTTGAGAATCGCAGAGGAGGGCACTTTTTTGAGAGACAGTGAATGCGAGGAAAGTTTTATTTTTAAGAGAGAGAGTAAAAGAGAGGCAAACACAATTTGGTTTTATGAGAAACGTAGGGATGGTCTCATTGTTTATTTTTGAAGAATGAGAATTTGAGTTAGTAAACAAATGTGATAAGTCCTTAAAATTGATCAAAAATATAAAATATATAAACTCAAATTTAATTAAAAACTTTAAACTGAACAAGAAGAAGAACAAAAATAATTGCGTTTGCTACGGTGCTTAAGTACACCGGTTGAGAATCGCAGAGGAGGGCACTTTTTGAGAGAGAGTGAAAGCGAAGAAAGTATTATATTTGAGAGAGAGTAAATGAGAGGCAAACACAATTTAGTTTTTGAGAAGCGTAGGGAAGGTATCATTGTCTCATTGGAAACATTAAATGTAAAGGTGAATACAATCAAAGCAGGCATTACTTTATTGTTTTTAACATAAATATAAGTTATATTGTATTCATTCCTAGTGATCGAATTTCAATCTGCAAGGGTATACAAACTTCCTTTCTTCTTAAAAATTCCCCTAGCTTGATTTCCTTTAAAGGCTCACAACAATTTCTCTCCCTGCAAACACTTAAGGTAAAAACGTAGAAATTGGGCATTCCATTCGACTTAACTTGGCTAAACGGTTATTAACTTTCCAATGTGTCTGCTGGTCCTTAATGGGTGTAGAAGCAACTTTATTATGGAAAATACAGCCATAGTCATTCGAATGTTTGCACCAAGATGGAAATGAAAAGGAAAAGCAAATGGCTGCAAGTGTTTTTTCTTTTTTTTTGGCCAAAAAGACAGAAACCAGCTAAGCACTTTGGCTGTGCGAGAACCGCAGGAGCAGCAGCAGCAACAACAACAAGTTGTCGTTGAGTTGTACAAACTGATTTGCAATTTTATAAAGAGCTTGGCTTGCACACAAAGCCAACAGAGTCCTGAATGGAAAACCTAGGAATGGGAAGGACTCTTCGATGCTTGGATATATGTGCAGCCAAAGGCAAAGGCAGCCGAAAACAAAAGCTAAACAACAACTTTTGTTTGTCCTCATCACGGAGGCAGGCGTCAGGCGACACTGGCAGTGCCGGAAAAACTGCTGACTGACTGGACTGGACTGGACTGGAAAATGTTTGGACCAGGCCTAAGTCTTCAGCTGGATGAGACCTTTTTCGGCAAGCCAAAAATTGTAAAACTCATTTACATAACAATTACCGCTTGACACGGCCATGTTTTTCCTGCCCAGACACAAAACACCAACTCCGCCACATTGGGTAATACTTTGAAGTCGGTGGGCTCCACAACCACTATATATAGTATATATATATATATATATATATATATATATATCTATTGTTTGTTGTTGTTGCTTATACTGGCTCACATGTTTGGCCCTCTCCGAGTGAGCCGGCTGCCGGTCGCCACCTGCCGGCACTTGCGGGACTGACATTTTATTTAGATTGCTTTGCATTTTCAACTTTTCTCCGCTTTTCCAAACCAACTGCGCCAACTGCGTGCAAATACACTGATATAATAGTTAAATAGATATTTAACTAGATTGCCCTAAAATGCCTTAATTATTCTGGCATTCAAAACTTTAAATTGGGTAAATCAAAAGAAAGTGTTGATATATAAGATGTTAATATATAAAAGTTAAGGCAAATGGGGATTTAATAAAGATGTTGTGAGAATTAAACCTTTCCTAACTTTAAAAATATTTTAGGGGGCTATATGAGGTTTCTTTTTATATAAATTTAAAAATAACAGACTTTGAAGAGATTGATTTTTGTAACAGTTGTAAGATAGAATAATTAGAATATATAGAATATATAGAATATTATATAGAATATATAGAATATATAGAATATATATAGAATATATAGAATATATAAAATATATAGATTATATAGCATATATAAAATATATAAAATACATAGAATATATAGAGATTATAGAACATTATTTTCCCTAAATATTTTCCAAAAATCACCCCTCCAAAATTGTTCTCTGTACACCACAACCAGACTTCCTCAGGCCATAAAACTCGTTGAATTTAACTCCCCGCACTTCACTTTCATTATGTGTCAGTTGCATTGTCTTGACTTTTTCGCATATATATTTTACTCAGAGGGAATCCCCTCCCCAGAGTTTGCCCCCGTGGATTTTTATGGTCGGTGTGCTCTCTGCGGTTTTTCCGCCTCGTGTGTGTGTGTGTGTGCTGTGTGTGTTTTCTGGGTTGTGGGTTATGTGACACAGTGGGAACTTTCTTACTCTAGACACTGATTAGCCGAAGCACTTACAATTTCATCCAAAGTGTTCGTCGGCTCCTTCATACCATGACGTTCGAGAGTCGCATCCAATCTGCAAACAAAAAAGAGGAGTCAGAATCAGCAAACCGACAAACAAATAATCATTAAATATCAGATGTGCCAGGGAGAATTTTCCTCGTTTTTTTTTCTTTGTCTTGTTTTGTTTAGGGGGTATGGGATTTGTCGAGGGGTGCCAATATACAAGTGTCTGTCTGCACATGCCAAGGTATTTGGACTCCCAAGAGTCGGGTGTGTGTACGTTTGGCAAATATATTTAACAAAACCAGACAAACATACAATTTAAATTTGTATTTTCAACAAATTTTTGTGGCTTCCTTCTTGGTTGCTTCATGCAGTATTATTCCCTTCTCAAGGGTTGAGTAAATATGGAAAGAGGTTTGCTAAATGATCAATAAAGTCGTTTACTGTTATCCATAATGAGCAAAATATTGGTATAAACATTAAATAATAATTAACTTTAAATATGTATTAAGTTGCTTTGGAAAGAGGTCAGTTTTTAATCATCAGAGACACTTGTGAAGTTTTTATATCCAGGGAATCCTATATAAAATGAATTTAAAAATGTTCCTCTTATAATATAACAAATAAATATATTAAGCTTTGTTATATCACATTTTTAAAAACGGAATATATAGTATCTTACTTCAAGATAGATATATTCTGTTCAGTGAGAGTATTTCTCATTTATCTTACATAAAAATTCGACCTTTTTAGAGGGGTTTTCGAAGGCAGTTCAGGGGGGCTTTCTGGGCTTCCAACAATACCAACCCACTGAGAACCACCCACCACCCCCTGTCCCATACATACATACATACATACTTATATGTATGCACCTACATATATGTACATCAAACCCATATACACATGCCTGAACCTATACAAAAGGCAGCCTTATCAATTTCAAGCATTTTGCCGTAAAAATATTAAGAGAAAAAATAATAATTTGCCTTTTCTTTCGTGGAAAACATACTTATGCTTGTAGGAGCATAGATATATCTACTATATAGAGCAGGGAAACCCCACTGGCCATTTCTTTTCAACGCCTCCCATACATACATACCGCCCAGAGAACCCCAGAAAGAAAACGCACTCTTTTTATGTGACTTATTTAGTTGAACAATGAGGAACAAAAAATGAACAGAGAGCGAACGAAGGACACCAAGGACTTGGAGCAAGGACCAAAAGAATAAAGAAGTAAAGAAGTTCAGTCTTATTAAAATCATGACACACACACAGAGAGAGAGAGAGCAGAACTCACAGTAATTTGCATTTTCCAACCACTTCGGCCTAGAAATTCTCTTCCGTTTCGTTCTGTTTTTTAAGTTGATTGCCACATAAATTTCATGTAATCTAATAAAATTTGAATTGTCGTCGTCGTTGTCTTCTGTATGTGAGAAATGTACATTGAACCGCAAAAAGGAAAAGCCAATGGTGGTGGGAGTGGATTTTCCTACTCCCCACTCCCCCCTCCCCCTTTCATGGCCATTTAAAATGCTGATGGAGTTTCAACTTTGAACGGGCGATAAGCTAATCAAATTAATTCAACTTAAAAAACTTGGCAAAGCGAATTTGCAACAAATTAATGTTATTTCATGGCTTCTTAAACTTGACACTGCGGTAACTACCGCCAGTCAGTGCCTCTCCCCCTCTGAACCCCCTCTGTCAGCTCACTTCAAAGTAATTCATTTCTGATTGGAAGTTTCCTGTCAGCAATTTTACTTTTTCCTCTGCCACTCGCTCGCTCGCTTTTCACTTTCCACATTTTGTGTGAGCGAAAAAAGTTTTCTGCATGGCTTAAAGTGCGGCCAGCTGGCCCAATGATGAGGATGAGGGGCTTCAGCAGCTCCGGGGGCTGCTCCAGGAGAGCGAAAAGCGTTTATGGATATGTGTGTTGTTGAGCAAGTTATGTGAGGCGTTCGCTGTTGGGGCTTTTCCACCCACACCCACACCCCCTCTCTAACAACGGCTAAGCAATAAACTTGGAAAATTCACTCGACAGAGGAGAGAACATTTTCCAGTATGTTGATCGGAATCTTGCAGGACCCCCCGTTAGATCGAATCTGATATCCTATATCCCTTGGTAGAGACACAACTGTGGGGGAAATACTAGTAACAATTGAAAGTTTACACCTAAAATTAATATATATATAATTATGGAGTATTTTTTAGGGTTTCTATATTTAACTTCATCAATGAATCAATTGTATATTTACTAGATGAAATTACTCTCTCTTTTAACTTCCTTATAAACCAAAGTTCCCCAAACATTATTCTCATATTTAACTTCATCAATGAATCAATTATATATTTACTAGATGAAATTACTCTCTCTTTTAACTTCCTTACAAACCAAAGTTCTCTAAACATTATTCTCATATTTAACTTCATCAATGAATCAATTATATATTTACTAGATAAAATTAATCTCTCTTTTAACTTTCTTATAAACCAAAGTTCCCCAAACATTATCCTTTGAAGGACCCCTATTATTTCGTGCACATCTGTCCCTATATCCTTGGGTATTTGTAGGCAAATTGCCCGCATTTTGTTGCTCTCTGGAGAACGAGTATCTTTCTCGGTTATTTGTAAACTTTTTCCTGCAGGAAGCTGAGCTGCGGGGGGAAGAGAATCTGCGTCCAAGTTAATCTCGGTTAGACAAAGTTTGGTGTTTTGGTTAAAGGCATTTGATTGATTTTATTTTCTTTTTTTATCCCTCACCCTCACGGCTAGTAGCTGGCAGCTCAGATTGAGTTTGAAAGGCAAATACTTCAGTATTTTTTGGGAAAGGGGAGCTGCGTCCCATTCACTTGGCAATTTGCTCGAATGCAGTTTGCATGTTTGATGACAGCTCCAAACGGTTCTCAAATTCCCCCCGGCCTGCCCCAAAAGTTTTTTGCATTCAAACACACACACACAGTCACAGTCACACTCGCACACACACCTTTTCCAGCGCCATAAACAGAACGTGGCGGTGCCAAACGTGTCAAATGCACGAAATTCTCACATTGCCAGGCAAATAAAAAATAGGGAAAAAGTACAACAAAAAAACAGAGTAAAAGCTGCAGTGTACAAATCTATACAACCCAATTCATACATATACATATATATTTGTGCATATATAAAACCAAAAAGAGTAGAAAAAATAGTAGAGTCTGGGGGGAAAATGCAGAAAAAGCAGGCAAAAGCCAAGCGAAACGAACCAAAGTAAATTGGCTACAAATAAGAAATTTCTTTACTGAAATTGAGACAAATATTGGTTAAAGGCAGTCACAGTCGATCAAATAAAACGACAAAAGCTAAATTGCTTTGGATATACATTAGAGAATACTAGAATGTAAATTAATTGGCTTAAATTGTACGGTTTAAGCAAGTAGTTTCTTATAAGTTGCAGTTAAGTTATCCATTAACAATTATAAACAAATTGGTATGCAAACTAATGAATATCAACATATTGTGAATATGAATATCAACAAATTCCCTAAACAATTTTCAAACCGTATTAAACCCACAGCGGAATATCATTTAGATAACCCAAACACGTCGGGGCCACAGCTCTTAATGCAATTATCGATTTGGCCTGATAAAATAACAAACAATGCCTCGTGTCTAAAGGTAAACACTGCCACTATTAATGTATGCAAATCCCCGCTGGAATATTTACCCAAAAGCCAGTTGAAACCGCATTTAAAACCTATCTCTTCCCCTAAAAAAAAATAAATATATCTCACATAAAATGTGTAATTTACAATTGTTTTAATTATACGCCAGGACACGGGGGAATTTTCTAGTGCTCCCAAAAACAATAAACTAAAAGCGAAACCTGATTGCAGAGAGCCGCTATTTAGGCTGCAATGTTTTTGTGTGCGGTTTCAAATTCATTTGGGATGCTGTTTTTATTTCCCAACTCTTCAACTTCCGCTCGTCAGAGTTTTACATAAATTAAGCCAAAGCAGCAACAATGCAATTTTAATGGGAATTAATGTTTCAGGCCTACACAAACGTGTGGCAAATTGAATTTTGGAACACTGCATCCTGTCACATAGATGCTCTGGATGCTTTTCCAGGAATAACCCCCAAAATGCCATAGGGACACACTCACACACCCAAAGAGGACAATGCAAACATATGCAGACCACGGGGCGTATGGAAATTTGTGGTCGATGTAGAGCAAGAGCGTGAAAATAACACCTGCAGGCACACCAAACTAATTAAAATCATTTTGGGGGTATTTTCCATGATGAGAGGGAGGTGTCCCAGCCATTAGATCATATAGTGAAAATGAGCTTATGATTGGGAAATGATAATAAACAGCGATAGGAAACAATAAATATTAATTAGGAAATTAAATTCAAAAGGTAATTCAACTATATGATGATAGTTTTAATATATACACATATATATTAAAACACCTGCCTTCATAGATATATTAATCCTTCCATCTAAAGCCAACCTCTAAATCCACTTACCGTCATGATTAATGAGAGTTTACCTGGCGAAATCAAAGCTCTACCATCGCTCACTTAATTAGAGCCAACAACGGACTGCACAAACTAATCGAATCTTGAACAAATTAGTTATTTGGCCCAGAGTCCACGGTGCCACTTGCCACTTCACTTCGGGCCAAAGACAATTTTCCCCCAGTTGAGCGACTTGGCCAACTAATTATCTTTAGTGCAGGCAAAATAAACATTTTGCTGTCGCTGCAGCACGACATCACGTTTCGTTTTGATAAAGTTATATAACTCAGTGTATACTCTATAAATAATTTCATCTGAATCTGCATCCGTATCTGCAACTGATATCTGTATCTGTTTGGCCACAAAGCGACTTACGCTCGGGCAAACAACAATTCGAATTATTCAGAGGTATATTGGCCAGGCCAGGACTTTCGGCCAGGCCAAATATTTATTTATTTATATGCCAGTGTGCCCTGAATTGATACGTAAATTAAACCATGAAATGGGAATAACTTTTCATCAATACATAAGAGTCGAGAGTTCGTTTAAATACTCCCCTTTTTTTTGGCCACTT